CTTCCATAAATAATGAAAATTTTTAATTAAAAATCGCTCGATTTTTTCGCCTGCGGCGCTTTATATTCTAAAAATCGATACTTCCATAAATAATGAACATTTTTAATAAAACATCGCTTTTTATTATAAAATCGATACTTCGATAAATTATGCAACTTTTTAATCAAAAATCGACCAATAAATAATTAAATTTTTTTATTGAATATCGCGCGATCATTATCTGCATTTTTTTAATGCTTCCGTTTTGTGTTTTTGAGGCATTTTTTCATATGTATGGCAGCACTGACATTTCACTTCAATTGGTGTACAAAGCAAAAGGTGAGGTTAAATTCGGTATTTTTTGCAACTTTAAATGCGAATTACTTTAAAACTATAAGCCTCCGGAGGGTGGGGTCTTCAGATTTAGAATCTGAAAAAGCTCCTCTATACTCCCTAATATTTTTTTTTTTCAAAGCCTGGATCCGTTTTGGAAAATTTTCCCAAATCAAGCAATCTTATTGTATCGTCATCGCCGCCAGTCACCAAGAAATTTCCACTTGGGTGAAATGCAACATCATTCTCCGGCGACGAATGCACTGTATTAGCTCGCCTTCAGCTTTGTCAAATATCTTAACGCGGTTACAACTTAATGCTAAAGCCACCAGATTGCCGTCTGGATGCCATGCCAGCTGTCGTCCCATACCTCTTCCCCCGGTGAACGTTCGCATACATTCGCCTGAAAATGTATCGCAAATTCTTAACTTGTCGCCGCACGATGAAATGAACTTACCATTAGGGCTGAATTTTGCTGCGCGCACCCATTTGTGTGTATTTTGAATCAGTATTTTGATGGCTGTTCACCATTTTTCTAGTCGGCAAACGAATAAGCTGACGAAGAAGCAAACAAATTCAAGCACATTGTTGCATTCTACCGTACATTTTAAAAGCTTTAAAATCTTAAAACATATGTGAAAAACTTTTATAATCTGAATATTTCTAATGTCGCAATCAAAACCAAATTTTATAAATAGCATTTGTAAAAAGCAATCATCTAATATTTTTCAAGTTTTTGGGCATATATGTTACCATTTGAACAACAAATACTACCAAGTTTTAAGAGACTATTTAATGCAACTCAGGTCAAAAAAGCGCACTTTAGACCGAAATAAGCAACTCTAAAAAACAGATGATCGCAGCTGTGGCCCAGGATGACGTCTATTGCTAAGATATCTCACTTGTATTTGTACACAATGGATAATACTTTTCAAAGATTTCATCTTCGACTAACTCGTGGGAGCGTTGATTCTGAAATGGCAAACATTTTTAACACATACATTTGTCCCAACATTATTTTTCATACTTACCCTAAAGACTATATGCACAACACCACAACAATGCTTTCATCTTTAATTAAAGCTAATATATATGCTTAATATCTATAAATTTTCCTATTTTAATGTGTTATGAATAAATTTTTTCGTATTGTTTACGTTTTTCGTGCAAAATGTCTTCTTCTTCTTCCATTCTTGTTCGCGTTTTGACATTGCTCTCTCGCAGCTGCACCAGTGTGACGTCACCGAAAAATTACGCTCAAAAATCCTCTCTGATCGGCGCAATCTTGTATTCTATCATTCTTGGTGTGTCGCATATCTTGGAACTAGTACTGGTGACAAAGTCAATAGCGAATCGATGTTTCACTGTCGACATTTACTGCAGGGAAGCTTAAATCTGACTACTTCGGACTGATGAGAGTCACTCTCACTGACTGTTGCTCTCTCATTTTTGCTGTCATTTCCGAGTAAGGGTGGGTAACTCAGCAAATTTATAGGAGTTGACTCAATGACTCCAACTCACTTTAATGAGTCAGTTCATTCAACTAACTCATTTGACTCTTTGTATGTTACACTCATTCGTATCGTAGACTCGTTTTGAGGCATAGATGCGGTATAGCGGTCGTTGAGATAAAACAAAACTTTAAAGTGGGCGTGGTCAGCTCCTTTCTACTGATTTGAAAGGTGTAATTTTTTTTGTGTGCAAATTAATAGGGCGGTGCTAGGGGGAGGGTAAAGGTGGAATTTTCAGTATTTTCAAAAGCTTATATTTCGAAACCTATTGTACCGAATTTCAAAATGTGGATATGGTTGGAAAGGCAATTGATTTGATATGCACATCTTTATATATCTTACATACATACATATTTCGAGAAAAACTAAAAAAAAAACGAAATTATAAGAATTTGTGAGATTTGACATAACACCCGCAATACAAAATACATGTTGTTGTTGTTGTTGTATTCTTGCCACCACCTTGTATAAATTCGCCTCGTGCAAAAACAAAATGCAAGACTTTGCCATGCTAAACACTGTGGCGAAGCGAGAGAGTTATATGGACAAATATGAGCCACTATGATTCAGTTGATTCATGTGAGCCCTACGGCATCAACTGAGTTACTGAGTTACATTTTTTTTGGACAGGGAGTCTGAGTTACCGTTTCACTTAGGTCGGTGTTATGCAGAAATTTTGTTTGGCAAACTGCGTGCAATTGTTGTTGCAGCAAACTCGGAGAGAGCGAGTTTGGCGACTCTCACAGCAAACTAATTTTGTTTGGTCAAACTGCAGCAAATTCGGTGTTGTCATATACAAAAATTTTAAATTTTGCGCGTTATGTACATCTGAAATTCTCATTTCGTGTTGGCAATAGCCATGAAAACCATAATGAACGTGCAACCCTGTGCCAAACTCGACATAACCACCTCCGAGCAAACTAAGCAGCCGCCATTTAATTTGGCAAACAAAAGTTTGTCTGCATAACACCGACCTTATAGGAATCAACTCAATAACTCAACTCTGAGTTGAGTTACCCACCTCTATTTCCGAGTTAAGGAACGCTTTTTGGACTAAATCTGACTACTTCGGACTTTTTCTGACTATTTCTGGGAGATAAGGAACGCTCCTACTGTGATTTGTGGTACACTATCGAATTCTCGCCCTTTTTAATTAAGGAAAATCGTGCAAATTTTGTGTAAAATTTCCGGGAAAACTGTAAAATAACGTGTAGCGTATTTCTGACGCTGCTTTAAAAAATTGTTTTTTCGACTTCTGTAGTAATTACTGTATGAGGCGATTGCGGACTTGAACGAAGGCGCAGACGTCTGTGACAGGGTCAGGTACAACGACGACGGCGAAAGGTGGAAGCGTTGGTGCTGGTGGTGCCAGTAGCGGTGTATCTACGACAGGAATAACGCCGTATGCGGATAGAAAAAGTGCACATAACGCAAGCAGTTTCATTGAAAGTGGTGATAGTGCCTTGACAACCAACAACCGTACGGGTGCTCCAGGAGCCCTAGACGCTGCAGCCGCCGCCACCACCACCATTGCAACATCAGCGAGCCTAAGACACAGCATGATGGACGTAAAGCTCAGTGCGGATGTATTTAAAAACTTTGAAAAGACGGGGAAGAGTGAATTGTATGTGACCGGAAATAATGAAAGGAGTGATATGCGTTTACTACAACATTGCTTAAACGAAACAATTTTTATTTTAGTTTGAAGATCTTAAAACAGCAAGTGAAGGAAAATGATAATCCGATTTTTGGGAAAAATTACGAGTTTAAATTTGGGATATCTAGGGCAATCTACGATCTACTATGGCATGGATTACGCTGCACGTTGAAGAAAGATACAATGCTGAATACTTTGGCAGATGTTGTGGTGAGTAAATTAATGCGGAGATGTCCATGCACTGGTTTTTTTGAAGAATAAAATATCGAGGACTAATATTCAATACCTTCTATCTGCAAATTTCACAAAATGTAGTTTCAGGCTTTCGCGCTTAGAAGAAATGACCCTCATCAGTCCGACTCCGGCTATGTTGACCACAGTATTTTCGCACAGAACTTCTTTCTGTGTAGGCGGCCTTCGGCTCCGCTTAGGGATTATAACCCCCAGAAATTAGAAGGATATTAGCATCACACTAGGTGGTCAAGTCACAGAACCTGCGAATATCATTAGGCCATATGCCCAACTTATGTACATAGGTGACCACTTACTCTTCAGTGTCCTGTAAAGATATTAAGCTTTGGAATCTCTTCTTGTTAAACCCTCCCAGTAAACTTTTTGCCTGGCGCATTCCTCCTTCACGCTAACCTGGTGTTATTGTGTCTGCCAAGGCTGTTTAGCTTCTCAATGCACTCAAGGACCAACGAAGATTTGAAGAGCGCTGATTGCCGCCTGACTATCGCTCAGCATTATAATTCTCTCATTTCTGTACCCTCTATCCCCATGATTGTCCCCGCACATAGAAAGATGGCATAGACTTCTGCTTGGAAAATGCTCGGATATTTCTCCATAGGAACAGAGATTCTGGTTCTGGGCCTAAAGATTCCAGCCCCTACTCCTGGGGTCTTCGAGCCATCTGTGCACCAGTGCAGTGTGCTATCCTGAAGTAATCTCTCCAAGACGGGGATAGCTATATTTTAAATCTCTTCTCAAATACTATGATTTCTCCTATATCATCTCTAGGGAAAATAGCAAGCGGGATAGATGACCCTAGCTTCTCCATATTCATAGAGGATATGACCTTACCTTTTCCACATCCCTCTCTATCAAAGCAAAGCAGAGTTCTTTTGGCTACCTGCTCTATGGTTATGTGAAAAGGCTCGAGCTCGAGGACTACTTCTAGCGCTGTCGTCTTACATGTGCGCATCGCTTCAGTTTTGCAATCACATGCCAGTCGTCGTTATAACCCTTACTAAGTAGAATTTTCATTTCTGAGTTGCCGGAGAAGGGAAACGGAAGCCATCCACACTATTTTTGCGCAGAACTCCTCAATCCGAAATTAACAAAAAAGTGCATATTTCGGAACGAATTTATTAATAAATTAATGACCGAAAATTACAAAATTATGTTTTAAAATGAAGTTTAGACCCTTGTGTGTAAACATTTTCCGAATCATGCAACCACTGCAGTGGGCGCTAATAATTCTGACGTTCGATAATCTTAATTGTCCAGAAAACTTAACCAATTTTTTCCTTGCATCCCAATCTTAAGATTTGACTTAATATTTCTGAATACTTCTTGTATAAAATGAATGGAAACAATTACTAAATGCAAAAGCTATTTAATATATACACTGGTGGCCTGATAATTAGAAAGGATTATTCTTTAAAAGTTCTGAATATTTATTTTTATTTATTAATTTTAATTAATGTTTTTTTTTAGGAAAGATAATTCATGCTACAACGAAATGGTCATCAAAATTTCAAACTTTTTAATCGGAATTTCTTGTTTATTTTTGAGATTTTTTTTTGCTAACCATGTTACGCATTTTCTTCCATACAAAGTATGTTCGAAAATTGTTCGTTGTTTGTTTTGTTTTGGTTTGTTGTTGTTGTTTTACGAATATATTTTGTTTTCCTAAAAGAAAAAAAAATTAAAACTAATAATAAAAATAAACGGTTAGAGCTTCTAAAGACAAATCGTTTCTAATTATCTAGTAACCAGTATATTTTAACTGATATTGGGGAAAAATAACAAAAACTTACAATCAGCGGAGGTAAAAGTAAAATTTTAATTTCAAACCCGCTAGGCCTCAGTAAAAAACTACTTAAGAATTCTGAACGTCCACTGCATCAGATTCTCAATTTTGTGAAAATTGCAGGTTATTGAATATAAGTCCAAGATATGTGCGTTAAGATGGAAGCTTTAATATTTCTTGTCTTATTACCGTAGGCACTGCATACTGATTTTCCAACTGTTATTCTGGACATTGTGAATATATTGGATGCAGAAACTTCACTAATGACCGATGGCATACAGGAGGAGCGTCTCATGTTCAGTCAGATTGTAAAAGATCTCGACAAAGTGATCTCGGATAAGTTGATAAAGGAGCGTTTAGAAATAGACACCCTGCAAGATGTAGGAATCGTAAAGAATAAGGTGTTCTACACGAAATTTATCAAAATAAAAACTAAGCTTTAGTGAGTATGATACCATTATAGGGTGTTTATTTAATTCATATTAATCCAATGCATTCAGTTATAAACAACGCCGCTTTAATCTCTTTCGCGAGGAGAGTGAAGGCTACGCCAAGCTAATAACTGAGTTAAATCAGGATTTTGAAGAAGGCGTGACTGCAACAAGCATAATGGATATCATTAAATCACTCATAGGTACATGAAATAAAACTTGTACAATACAATTATAAAACAAAAATCCTAACTTAAATACAGGCTGCTTCAATTTGGATCCCAATCGTGTACTTGATATAATAATTGAATCATTTGAGACACGCCCTGAACGAAGGCATCTTTTTATACCATTGCTACGTGCGTACATGCCAACTGGTTCAATTATATGTGAAGTACTCGGTTATAAGTTTCGTTACTTCGCTGAAACGCGAACGCCCCGCTCACTTTTCCACGTGTGTTCGCTGTTATTAAAGTACGGTGTCATTGAGCTTCATGATATCTATCAATGGGTGTGTAAAATTTCATATTTTTTAGATAGAATGTGGCACCATTAGTTTTCTTTTTTTTTATTTA